AAGGCCAACTGGTAGAAGCAGCAAGCATAGTGAGGGGCAGTGGGTGATACCTCATGTCTTGAGGCATTGTCTTTCCCTGGATTCCAGAGCAGCTCTCCTACCTGTGTCCTAAGGAGTGCCCTCACATTGTCTTTCAAGCCATCTCAGGGCCTCTGGCTGCAGCCACTGCCTCCATCCTCACCAATCCCATGGATGTCATCCGAACCCGTGTGCAGGTAAGACTGGCCTCCTTCAGCCTCCTGGATAAGCCATTACAAGTGTGATCTCCAGGCCCTCCAGTCTTCCCCTGACCTCTTTGTGTCATGGCCCTGTAGTAAAGTCAGGCTTCTTCTGGCCATCCAAGCCCCTTCCTTGAGCTTACCATCTACAGACACCAGCTGAGCACTTGGAAGCATCTAGAATGCTTCTCTCACTTTGTCTGCTAGTTTGCATGCCTCTCCTACTCCATTACATGCCCATGCCTCCAGGAAACCTTACTGGTTTCTTCCAGCCTTTATAGGAATCCTATTCCATAGCCATGGTCTATCAACCACACTTTCCTCTACCTTGCAGGTTTGTGGTTATTAGAAATATTGATTTCAGTTAATGTTGTAAGTCTGTCTGGTTTTTCCGCTAGGCTATGAGCTCTCTACAGATTATGAGAGTGACTATTCTTAAATAGGTTTCACAGATTGTACTGTGTGGACTCAGCAAAAACCCTGACAAAGCCCTTGGTGGTGCTGTCCAGAAATTATAGTCCCTGTCTTCATTCAGCTCAAAGACAATTACTCAGCACCTAGACCAAGGAAATAGAATCTGAATGATTATATATAAAATGCCATTGATAGGTTTTGGTGTATAAAGTTTTAGGTAGAAAGCATGGGGGATTTTAATGTCCTATTTGGGTTACTTAAGAGAAGAAAATCAAAGGTATACAGGAGAGTGGCATCCTTGGGTTGTGGTGAGGAGAGAAGGGAAGGAAAATAACCATAACAGGTTGGGGATAAAATCAGCTTCCCTGGTGCCAGGATATCAGGAAGGAGATGGGTAATAAATATACTTATTTTTGTCTCTAGGAAAGTGTGTCCCCCCTAATTGAAAATAAATACATTGGAGTCTTGTTGGTTTGCAGATAATAAAGTGCACAGGCTCAGTCCCCATTCTCTTCTGAGCCTTGTCCTGGGTGTTCTAGGAGGAGATCCAAGGGAAAGGACAGATGTCTACTTTGAGGAGCTCTAGGCTGGAGGACCAGGGACATAGCTGGAAAAGCCCTTGCTGTGCTGTGGATAAATGGGAGGGTTAGGGGAGCAGAGGTGGCAGATGAGAGAGTACTGGAGAGGAAGGAGGGAGTGTGGAGGAGGGTGCTGAAAGGAGACAGGGTGGAGTGGGGAGATGTTCTTAGCGATGGCTGGGATACCTTTTGTAGGTCATACCATATAGGGGGAGGTAGGAACAAGGAATGCATTGGTTCAGGGGCTGAATGGGGTGGTCTCTAAAGGGGTAGTTGAGGGGTGGGACTGTTGAGGAAGAAGAGGGAAGAGATTCCTGCCGTGGCCGGGTTTTCCAGTGTGATAGGAAGATGCCTGTATTCATTCATGGAGAACATGAGAGATGACAGGGATGGAGGGGACAGTTCTAGCCCTGGGGCTTCAGAGGCATTGAGATGACCAGAGTCAAAATTATGGACTAGCAGAGCTGTAGAGGACCTTAGAGGAGATTTAATCCAGCCTCCCTAAGACCAGGGAGAGGCACCCAGTGCAAAAACTCGTAGCTACATAGCTTATCTAATGATATTAATGATAGCTCACATTTGTTGAACACTTAATATCTGCCACCACTGTTGTTAGCATTTGTGAGTATTATTTTCTTTCTTACTCTTAACAATCTCATGGCGTAGGTACTATTATCACTGTTTTATATTTGAGGAAAGTGAGGCATAGAGTAAAATTAAGTAAATTTCCCAAGGCTATGCTGTTAGTAAGTTGGGCAGCAGAATTCAAACCCAGGCAGTCTGGCGCCAGAGCTCATACTAAACCACTGTGCTATACTGTCTCTCAGAGGCAGAATCCAGCCCTTTGGACTTTCCAAGTCTAGTTCTCCCTGCTTTAGCCTAAGGCAGAGGGAGATTACGCAGAGCAGCTTTGACTACAGACAATGGCCCTCCACTGTGTTGACTTTTCCAGGTTGAGGGCAAGAACTCCATCATCCTGACCTTCAGACAGCTGATGGCAGAAGAAGGGCCTTGGGGCCTCATGAAGGGCCTCTCGGCCAGAATCATCTCGGCCACACCTTCCACCATTGTCATCGTTGTGGGCTATGAGAGCCTCAAGAAACTCAGCCTCCGACCTGAGCTGGTGGACTCAAGACACTGGTAACCAGTGGTGGGGAGAGAAGCCTGCTCTTTTCCATACTACTCTGGGTTGGAGGCAGAGTGGGGAGGACAGCACCCTCTCCAAGTGCCCCCACTGCATACTGAGCCCTGCCCTGGGTCAGGTGGCCTATCTCGGATGGGACAGAGACTTTGAACTGCTCTTGCTGAAGAGGATCCATGCCTGGATTCCTTGCCCCCACTATTTTTAATTCTCTTGCTGAGCTGGGCTCCCTCACTCAGTCCCTGTTCTCAATCCTGCCTTAAGGACCCCATCCTGCTAACCCTTCCTCTGGCTCACCCCCTCCATCTGTGTCCCTGAGACCCTGAGAAGAGCTGTACATAGAGCTTGCTTCCTACCACCGCTTCTTGGGCTTTGCGCCCAGGCTCCAAGCAGCTGCCATGAGCCCTCTCCCTCTTCATCTCTTAGGCTTATTTTTATTTTGGGACTGAGCTGCCCACCAGACTACTCTGCTTTTCCCTGCCACTTGGGGCTAAGGTGCCAGGCACTTTTGCACAGGGAGCAGGAGCAGCAAAAACCTCTGGTTCTCCAGAGCATTTGTCTTCTCTTTGGAGGAGTTATTAGACTGGGGAGAAATGTGGGTACTTTATTTTGTGTGTGTATTTTTTTTAAACATCTGTGAACCAAGCTAGTGTCTTAGTCCTGCTAAAGCACCAATCCTACTGTCAGAGCCCACCCTTTCCTCAGACAGGTGGAAAAATGTAATGTAGCTTTTTCCTCAACCCCAGTTCCCTCTCCCTTCAGTGTCCCTTCAGTCCCAGCAGCCCTAAGACAATATAAGCTGTGGGCTTCCCCTGGCCCAGATAACTACAGTGGTGGGCACAGTTCTAAGCAGATCAGGCTGTCTGGGGTGCACTGGACTTGGAGCACTACCCTGAAAAGTCAGGCTAAGAAAGTACTTGATTTGAAAGGTGATAGGAGGATATGTGTTCCCGATACATCTTCCCAGGCCAGCTGAGCCAAGCCTAGGAGAGGGAAGTGGAGGTTCTCAGCCCCAGGTGGCCATGACATACAAGTCTATACTCTGATCACTCAGACTCATGGCAACAGGTGTTGTCTCACAATGGGAATCTCTAAGTTGGGGAACTGTGTTTTTCTTCTCTCAGCATGTGAAGTCATCCCAGTCATGTGTACCCTGTGGAGGGATACTGGAAAGAGAATACAAAGTAGTTCAGGAAGTCACCCAAAACCAGGACCACTGCATTTACCAGCCTGATACTGCCAAGATTATCTGCTAAAGCTCTGCTCAGGAGCTGGGAGATGAGCACTCCTTCTTCCCTGCCTCATCCTTCCTACCCTGCCCCACCCCCCAAGCCTGTGTTGCAGGCAGAGAGGTGCAGCAAATTGAAAGAGAAGAAGGCATGTCAAACCCTGCATTTCCCCCTGAGACATTTGGCCTGGATGATCCTCCCTTCTTATTGGTCCCATACCCTGGGAGAGGCCATGGTGCCAATTTGAAAGGTGCTAGCTACCTGACGCCTTGATATTTCTTACGGCTGCTGCACATTCTTCCAACCTGGCCAGAACAGATTCTTAAAACCCTACTTCTCTACCTTGACCACCACTACTACCCATCTTGGTCTCTATCTTTGAGGGTTTCCTCCTTTCACGTATCTTAATGTTTATTTTTATTTTTCCCTCCCTGCACTTTGTCAAGAGAGTCCTCCAATTTCTATCCACAAATGGTCATATCCAAAGGGTTGGGCCCATACATCACGTGAATCTTCCTGCCCCTTACTCACCTCTTTACCCTAAGAACTACCAATGTAATGGAAGCACCTGGCCCTTGCTCTCTTTCATCCTAGTGAGACCTTTGAAGGTTGGTGTTCTCAGCTCCACACCTGCCTCTGCCTAGAGACTTGTCTTCAATCCTTCCCCACTATGGCAAAGTGGGTGAAGTATCATGGACAGGAGGTAGTGTCTTGCCTGTCATATCTTTGTGTGTTTCTCCCTCCAAGACTCCTTTGGTTTTATTATCTTATACAGTATTTCACAGCTTTCACCTGTTTGTCTCTCATACATACACAGTTTTATTTATTTTATTTTGGCCCCTCAGAACAGAGTGGACACACATAGTTTTAAATTATGATGTGTGTGTAATTAAAGACTCTTGCCTCCTATTTTCCCATCTAATAGTTTAGGGATTAGATTGGGTTTGATTAAAACATGTCCTGGTGTGGATGGGACAGTGGACTTCTGTCCTCCCAAAACTGGAGGCCAAAGCAGCCAGAATGTTTGATGTATTGGTCGTTAACGAAAACCACAAGAAGTTCCTGAACACAGGGCAAGACAGGAAAACTGATTGGAGTATTAAGGGACAGGGGAATGAAAATGCAGACTCTCTTCACATTCGATAAAATGGACTCTTGTGAATATAACAGTGAATGTTCACTGTTACACTGTACGAAGTCTGTGAAGTGTAATTAAAAGTTTTTATTGAGCCCCTGAGCCTTGGCTTGCGCGTATTTTTCTGGGTTGCCGAGATACATCGGTGCACTTTTTGTCTACCCTCAACCCTCCAGCCTCCGGCAACTTCCCCTCCCCTGCCGCGCTCGGTGATAGACATTCCGCCAGTTCCAATCGGAGGCGCCCAGTGCGGGAGCGGCCAATCGGAAGCCTTGGCGGGCGGGGCGGCCGGGCCAGTTAGATTTGGCGGTTCGACTTCAAGATGGCCGAAGCGAACAACGCCAATGTAGACGGCGCTTGTGAGGAAAAAGGGCCTGAGGGGTTGTCTTCGGAATCTGTGCCACCCGGCACTACCATTTCGAGGGTGAAGCTCCTCGACACCATGGTGGACACTTTTCTCCAGAAGCTAGTCGCCGCCGGGAGGTAAGGTGGAGGACAGTGAGAGGTAGAGACGTAATGAGGTTTGTCCCACAAAAAGTCCAAACCCTGCGATAGCGGGACGGCAGCCGCCGACGGCGCAGGCGCGTGGTCTGGTGGCGAGGGCGGGTCTGGGTCGCAGTGTGATCAGACGCTGCTGTCGAATCCGGAACGTAGAGAAGTCAGGGGATGGATGTTTACCAACACAGACAACCTGTAGCAGGCCCGGGACAATTAGCTATTCCTCCTTCTAGGAAGCCTCGTTTTGACTAAAACTTAAAGTGGTTGCAAGGAAAGACAGAGCCTTTGCACTTAGATCAGGGTTTACATCATGGGGCCCGCCGCTATCTGAGCAACGCTTAGACCGCCCCGTGCCTCGTCGGCTCCTCAGAAGTCAAATGGTGACGATAGTATCTTTCTCACAGGGTCGTTTTGAGAATTAAATAAGTAAATATACGTAATATACCTAGGACAGGGCCCGCCACATAGAAAGCTTTGTTAGCTTCCGTGGGGAATAGTATCTTCCCTGGGAAGTTGCAAGGACTAAATGTATTGCCATGAAAGGAAACATTTTCCTGTCTTAATTTTTATGTGATGTACTGGTGGGGTTTTTTTTGTTTTTTAATTTTTTATTTTATTTTATTGATTGATTGATTGATTGACAGAGTCTCACTCGGTTGCCCGGGCTAGAGTGCCGTGGTGTCAGCCTAGCTCACAGCAACCTCAAACTCCTGGGCTCAAGCGATCCTCCTGCCTCAGCCTCCCGAGTAGGTGGGACTACAGGCATGCGCCACCATGCCCGGCTAATTTTTTCCATATATATTTTTTAGTTGTCCGATTAATTTCTTTCTATTTTTAGTAGAGACGGGTCTCGCTCTTGCTCAGGCTGGTTTCGAACTCCTGAGCTCAAACAATCCGCCCGCCTCGGCCTCCCAGAGTGCATTCCACTTTTTTTAAGTCTAATGTATTTTGTTTGCTCTTAAGAAGCTTGTCAGTCCAAAGCCCTGTGCCTGGGGAGCCAACTGTGTGGTTGGGGCCCCAGCAGAATCAAACAGTGCTGTCACCATGGTCCAGGCAAGAGATGGTTCACTTGAGAACATGAGTGGATTTGAGCTGATTGGGGGTAGAATGGAAGGGAAGATGAGGGAAAGTGAAACACCAAGAGGATGTTGCCCCTTCATGACAGTGGTTGGGTGGAGGGTGGTGCCACCTACTAAGATGGTGAATAACGGAGGTGAGAGTTGGGGGAGAGAAACGGGGGATTTCCACTGGGGTGGAAATCAAGACATATCTTTGGACAGGTTCAGTTGGAGATGTACGGCAGCCACGCTCCTGTTTCTCAGGTCCTTTGAGCCCTCATCCTTCCAACCTCCCAAGTCTACACACCTCTGCCTCTACACCCAGCCTGCCGAGCAGCTCTGTAGAGTCTCACCCGTGGTAGATGATGATGCCTCCGCAAAGTCACGGTCTTGACTTCAGCATGGTGCTCAGTTAGCCTGCAGTCATCATGCCCCCAGCCAGTTCTTGTCCCCTTCTCCACAGCAGCTATTTCAAATCTTCATCATGTCCTTCAGGCCCTTTTCTTGCCACCTGCACCCTCTTAGTGAAAATGACCTCGGCATTTGGGGTTCATTGAAAAAATTAAGGCCACCAGGTAGGCTCTTCCACATTTATCAATTTCGCTGAGAGATACCCAATCCTGTGTCCGCTTAGCTACTTCCCTATCGACTTCCTTCCCTTTACATCCAAGGCTATAGCTTCAGGTTCTACATTACCAGGTTCTAGTTCCCCATCTCCAGTGCTTTCCTCAGCCCAGGGCAGTCTGCCATCATTCCCTTAAAACTATTCAAGGTCGTTAATAACCTATTTGTTGCTAAATACTGTGGATTTTTTTTTGTCTTTAACCTACTTTCTTTCCTTGTAGCATTTGACACTGTTAACCACTTCTCTGTCCTTGGAATTTTCCCCTCAGCTTCTGACATCATTCTCTGACCCTTTACCTCACTAGCAGCTCCTTCTTGGGCTCCTCTTCCCTCTCCTGTCTTTTAAATGTGTGACCATTGCCCTGCCCTTAGTTCACCTCCACATGTGAATGATCACATCCCTGCTGCTGGAGCCCTTCAGAGACTGTTCATTGCTCCTTACCATGGCTTCCAGGCCCTGCCCACTCGAGCCCCTGCCTACCTCTTCTGCCCCACTCCAGCCACACTCAGTCATACTGACCTCCTCCTTGCCTAGAGTGTCATGTGCTTTCCTGCCTCAGGGTGTCTGCACTTGCTGTTTCCTCTGTGTGGAATGGTCTTCCTCCATCTCTTTCCTGACTCTCCCGAAAGCCGTCTCTCTGCCCTGGTTATTTGTCATAATATCTCCTGGTTATTTGTCCCTTCATAGCACTTATCACAATCTGCAGTTCTGTTGTCTGCTTGCTTGCTTTGTGGTCTATCTTCACCACATAAAATGTCGGGTCCTGGAGAGCGGGATCTTGTCTGTCTTGTTCATCACTCTCTACTCATTGCTTATCACAGTGCCTGGCACACAGGAGACACTCAATAATTTTGGAATAAACGGGGATTCTTAAGCCATATATCTCCTGAGTTCAGACCTCTGTCTCTAACAGTCTGCTACTAGAAATCTCCATTTGGTGTCCCACAGAACCATCAAGCTCAGCACAGTGGAAGCAGCATTTCCTCCTCTCCTCTTCCTGTGGTCCCTAACTTGGTTGAAGGAACCACTGTCTACCCATTCTCTAGGCCAGAGACTTTGGAGTCCTCAGCGATCCCTCCTTCCCTCTCACTTCCTGTCAACCATCTAGCTCTGTTGGCTCCAGCCTCTCTCTCCTCGGTCCCCTCCTTTCACCCTTGCACCACTGGCTGAGTTCAGGCCCTCCCTGTCTCTCACTGAACTGTTGCACCAGCCTCCAAACTGGCCCTCCAGCCTCAGTCTTGCCCCCTTCCTTCAGTCTACAGTTCAGTTTTGATCACGTCCTTCTGCTTACAATGTTTAGTTGGTTCGGGGTTGCTTCCAGGATCAAATGCAAGCTCCTTAGCTCAGCATACAAGGGAATTTACTCCTCAGCCCCTCCCCATCTCTCCAGCTGCAAGTCAAGGCCGTGGGCATTTAGTACGTGCACACCTGCTTGCCAGTGTAGACGCACACATGCACGTAAGCTCTTCTGCGTCAAGTGCTGCCCCTCTGCCTCCATCCCTGCCACCTTGCCTTTTCACTTGCTGCTTCTCACTAGAACATCCTTCCCCTCATTTGGTTAAATAGTAACTTACAGCTGGTTTCCACATAGTAAGGACTCAATAAATATCATATATGAATACAGACTTTTAAGATGTATGCAAATACTTGACACTCATCCAGTCCCAAGCCATTAAATTAAAAATGCTTAAAGTCCTCAGTCCCAAGGATGAAGTACTTATACCTGGGACAGGAGTCTATACATAGTGATTGCAGGTTTATTCATAATTCAGTTATCCAAAGGGATATTTTAAATCCCAAAATTGATTTTCCCCTCAACTCAGCATATTTTCAGTGTAAATATCAGCTTGAGTAGGAGGGCAAATTATGTGATAAACCCCAAAGTGACTGGAAGATTATCTGCTGTGCTGGGCTCTCAGATTTTGGGGATCCACACCCACTGTCATCAGTTAAGGCATCTTCCTTTCACTGTCTTGGCTGTGGCGAAGACTCTCAAATCTGTCCTCCGTCAGGCTTCGGAATAGAGAAACACGGCCCTATTGGAGCCTACCATTTGCAACCTTGGCCTTGTTCTCTGAAAATGGAGGATTCTTTTCTGTCCTCCACAGCCTCCTGAACTATCTGAAAACAGCCATTCTCCTGTTGAGCTAAAGCAAGCTGACAAGGGTGCTCCCTTTCTGTGTTTTGTTATAAACTGGGACCTGCCAAGAGAGGCAGTCAAATTTTTGTTAGTGGGGTCCAGGTTGAAGATCAGTTAGTACTATTCAGAGAAAAGCTGGGTTTGCCACAGACACTCGTGATACCCTGGCTGCTGTGCCACGTGTGGTGTTGGTCCCACGGGGGCTGAGGGAGCAAGAGGTGATTGACAGTTCTTAGGTTCTTCGATGCCGTACTTAGATGGCCTTCTCGTCTAGTATTCTGGCCTGGGATGTGTTTTGCAGGGTATGATTTGTGTAAAGTGACTCAAAGCCTACATCTGACAGTGACCAAGGAAAGAGAGCTAGTTGAATTTGTGCATGAACTGGTAGTTTTAAACTAGACTGTTAGTATCCATAGGAAATAGTGCTTCACAGGAAAAAGAGTGGTGTAATACATAAACTATTCTGACTATAAATGCCTTGGAAATACCCTCTTTGAATGTGCAGGTGATGCGTGCTACTTGTGGTGATTCGTTTCTGAAGCGTGGGGGGTGACTCATCAGACGGTGGTGTGTGGCTTCAGGCCTGGCATGCTAATGCTCTCTCATGTTTCCAGACCGTCCACCTCTTTCCATCCCCACTGTTTCTGCCTTGCTCCAGACTGCTGTCATCTCAGCTATGCCTGTCCACACTCACGGCAGCTGAGTGACCATTGTCAAGTACAGATCTGATCATATCACATCCCTGCTCCAAACCCTCTTCTAGCTATTCTGGTCATGATACAGTCCAGACTCTGTATGCGTCTGGCCCCTCCCTGCCCCACCATCCTGCAGGCCACGTGCTGTGGAAGCCAAGATGACCAGATGGCCTGCGTTGAGTCCCAGCTGGCTCTGTCAGCTTCTTCATCTGAAAAATGGGGGTGAGGATAATAGAACCTACCTGATAGGATTGTGATGAGAGTTCAATGACTTACTCCATGTAGAGTGTTTAGAGCAGGGCCTGGTACTAGTCAATCCTCAGTAAACATTTTTCTTATTATTGCATCTTCATATACATGCACATATGTGCACACACACACACACGTGTGCACACACTCCACACTATGCTGCCTGGGCCTTCGTACACACTGCTTTTCTACTGTCCTCTGCCCAGCTCCTGCTTCTT